TACTAATGATAGTCAAATTTATGTTACCAAAATACATAATGATTGTCAAACAGAAATAAAAGGTTGTGATACCAATCCGATCATTCCTTATGCTGATAAGGGAATTTGATGTGGTAGTAGGTATGGATTGGTTGTCAGAAAATTAGGAAAGTATTGTATATAATAAGAAGATGATACATATTGATATGCTGGGGAAGGGGCCAATTGTGATTTATGGTGATCGACGTATCATCATACAAGCCTGATTTCTGTTTTAAAAGCCTGAAAATGTATTAAAAAGGGGTGCCAAAGCTTCTTGGCTTATGTGGTTGACTCTAAGAAGGAAAAAGGTAAAATGGAATCTATCCCAGTGATTTGTGTGTATCCAGAAGTATTCTAAGATGAATTGTCCAGTTTACCTCCCGAATGGTCAGTTGAGTTCTGAATTGACCTAACACCTGGTGCGGCACTRGTAGCCAAAGCACTGTATCGTTGGCACCATCTGAGCTAAAATAGTTGATGATACAGTTGAAAGAGTTGCTGGATAACGGTTTCATCCGACCTAGTACTTTTCCTTGGAGTGCTGCAATTCTATTTGTGAAGAATGCAGATGTGTATTGTGAATGCATTTATTGATTGTTCTTAATCGATGAGTTTACTGCAATTAAATTATGTTATATTCACATATGAATTATACTCGAGTATCAAATTACAATTGATATTCATATGTGAAAAGATATATTATGTAATACATGAATCTATTTGTTTATCCAAATTCTCTCAATGATTTGATGATGACCCTACATACTTAGTGAAAAATACTTGTTGTAATTTTTGACAGTTTAAACGATCATCTCTGAGTCTGTTTAGTGATCGTTGAACATGTCCTATAAACGTTTCAAAGAAACAAAGTATTCCCCAAAGACAAAAACTCAGACCAAAGATTCAACGATGTCAAAGAAGTAGCTGAAGAAAGAGACATGACATTTCGTGATCTGAAGTGGATTCAGTGATAACAGAATATCTAAATCAAAATGTGAAATTTAACCAAGAGTCAGCAAACACTGAATCTTGATCTACAAGATTAGTTTTTTTCTTATCCTTTATGCATAAAAAGGACAACCCCATACCTCTCACAGAAAGGTACACGTACAGAGTTACTTTATTGTCTCCAAACGTGCTTAACAACTTTGTGAATGTCAACTGTTCATATGTGGCTAAAAGTCTGCATGTCTGAAGACAAAGAAGAAGTTCTCCTCTAGAATTTTGCCATGTGGCTTGTACCCTCTGACTTGCATTAAATACAATAGGTATAAAAAGCTGAGAAGATCTCTCTTCTCAGCAACGCCTTCTTCTTCTTACTATATTCTTTATTGTTCTTAATCTTCTTTGTGCTTAACGTGTGTTTCTTAGATTATTTAACCTAATCTATTTTTGTAACAATATATAAATTCTTTATTGATCTTCTTTTATCAAACGAATTTAAAAAGTGAAAATTTGTGTGTTTGTATTCAACCCACCCCCTTTTACAAGCTGTTACCTTCAAAACTCTTGTAGATCCGTTTGGGACCAATACTATTACCAATATCACATTTAATTAAGTACATTGTAAACCACAAGAAATCATGAACAATATTAGATGTGATACAACCTCTCGTGTGTAGGTCAGTTGGCAAAGGGGCGAGGTAACTTCGCCCAAATATAAAACATGTCTCGAGTTCGATCCCCCCCCCCCTACCGCTAGCCTAAGCCACTAAGTGAGGCAAAAATGTCATCCCATATTGATGTTCTTGGAGGCGGATTCCATTTGAAACCAGTTAGGATTGCTGGTAATCAACTTTTTGCCCAAATGATAGATGTAATACAGTAAAAGGTAAAACACATCTATGTGGTTCATCTTCAAATGCGTGTGTTCATCTAAGAAAATAATCTTCAACATAAACATAAAGAGGATGAAACCCCAATTTATCTGCTATGGTTAAACAACCCAAAATCGAATGATTTCGTCTTTGAGTATGTGATCGTTATTCTTAATTTCTCAGGATCTCATTCGATATTATAGCCAAAAACTCTTTTTCTATCTTGCTATGTCTTCATGATGGCAAGAGTTGCTTAAGTGGAGATGGAGATGATTTGGTTTGATATTCCCACAATGTTTGTTGGAGACTAGAATCAACTATGGAACATGATTTTTTGTTCTAATATTGCTCGTAACTCCGTAAATCGTCTTTTAAGCCCCTAATAAACGACATGATTTTGTTATGATAACAAAAGTTTCATTAATATTTTGGAGCCCTTGACTGAAGGGTAATAGAATTCTATTACCTATTCATATATGTATAAAACCCAGGAAAAAAGTGTTTGAATATCGTTATCTATGCACATATACATAAAAACCAGAAAACAGATTTCCAAAAGATGACTAATTGATTTTAGAGGAAAAAAATCGGAAAGTAAACGTAGGGTAAAATCCTTAGAAATGGGAGATGAAAACTCGATAATAAAAAAACCCCATACATTTATTCAACATTACAACGAGACATGGTTCAATTAACAATGCCTAGGGAAGAAAGTTGAATTCTATTATGTTTTTTTGACAGGATTAGTACGTGAATTGTCGTCAATAATGAAGTAGGGATAAACTCTACAATTTTCATTTGAATAAAGAAATGAAGTAGGGATAAACTCTACAATTTTCATTTGAATAAAAAAAAGACTTGAAAACGATTTGAATAAAAAAACTCAACAATTTTCAAACTTTTTTTTTTTTTTTTTTTTGAAGAAGAAGAAGAAGAGAGGTCGATTCCGAACCTACAATCAAATTTTGATTATTTCCTCCTCTCATGTGCTCGGTCCATAAAATTTGAAGTCGTTGCTCGATGTATATATTCAAACAAATTTATTTGAAGTTTTAATTAAAAAATAAAATATCACTTATCTAACATAGAAAATAACAAATGTTAATAGTCGAAGAGATCAAAATCCAGCAAAAATAAATAAAAAATTCAACAAAATACGGGGACCAAAACTGTAATTTACTCTATACATGTATGTATCGTGTAACGTGCCTTTGAAGAATTTGTGGATTTAATTATATTATGACGTCATTACTTGATGAATGGATGTCATATGGAACTAGTCCATCTAGAACTACTCGATTACTTTATCTAAATTAATTAATTATTAACGCCGTCTATTATAATCAATTCAAAATTTAATTTATAATATATACTTTTTATGCCATAAACTATGTCAATATGCTGTTTAGACCCTTCTTTTATTCAAAATCATCACAAACAACCCTCTGCAAAAAACCATAGTCCAAGATCAAACTAGTCTTGTACAAAGTATTATTACATTGTGTTTATAATCAATGTTACCATTTTTATTACTCACATAAATATACAATTCCAATCATATCAATGTTACCATTTTTATCTGATTTTAGTTAAATTATCTGGCATCAATTATCAACTTCATGCATGAGACTCGAAGATACAACAGTTAATGAAAAGAATTAGTGATTTCAGTTGTTAATTTRTGATTTGATGATTTATGTTCTTTAATTTGATTAAAATAGAAAGTACCAATTGATATAAAACAATTACGTGTTGCTCACATTTGTTAGCCTCAGCTTGGCTCCATCACTGAATGTACAGGTGTGAAATTATTTARTCTCAAAACCACAAACCAAACGATATGTGATTTCAGCTTCTCTTTTAMCAAATCACTTGTCTCAAACCACAAAATATCGTATCGCATTTGGCTTATATCCAACACCTATTTAAATATTCAATCAATTATATCACAATACTTATAATTTCAAAATTTCATGGCCTACACAATGCAAAGTAGGAGGTTGTACGTAGTATACATAACATAATTAAGTCCAAATACATAGGAAGTTTAATCAAAGTTTTAAAAAAATCAAAGACAAAATATGCTCCAAAACAAACGACTAAGCTTCATCTTTCATCAAACTCCCGCATCTCAACAATCTACTCCAAATCGACATCTTCATCTACACCTAAAGACTTAAATCACGAACTTGAAGTCTCGAACACTCATATTTTTGAGCTATTAAGTCTATTGAAACCCTACAAAATACTTTTAAAAGCAAAATCATATATTATGCTCTAAGGCAAAGTATAAAAAGAAAGCAACAATATTAGTTTTTTACCTTTGCAAATAAAAGAGTAAACCACAAGGGTGGTGCCTGATTGGTTTGAGCTTGACTCCAAAGATCAAAAGTACCAAGAGGTCACAGGTTCAAATCCAAGGAGGAATAAAAATCCTCTTGTGGTCACGGAGGTTCAAATGCGGTGACTCCGAGCTATCTGCAAAGCAGGTGGTCATCCTGGGATTAGTCGGCTCGCATAGCGGGTTGGATATCCAGGTTAATCAGAAAAAAAAAGTAGGCATAAGATGTAAGAAAAGAAGGAATTAGTATGAGGAGAGTAGCTATTCATTTCACAACCATCAAGTTAATTAAAACATGGATGGATACACGGTGTTATATCTGATCGGTATATTCAGATTTCAAATAATTCGATTTTGATTGCAATAGGGTTATATGATTTTCTATATGCAGTACAAAAACTGCATAGTTTGGTTTTCACAAAAAGAATACAAACCATAATTATACCACGAAAATTTTAAACCATGTGCTTTAGTTGATTCGTACGGTTGATGAAGACACCCAACTGAATGTATCAAAGTGTGAATACTCAAATGAAAGGTTTATGTTGAAAAATGGAGATATTTAGGGGTAGTTTGTGTAAATATTCCTAATGACATTGACCAAATCAAAGTTTGACAAAATCCCATGTGTGTGTGTAGTCAGTCATGTTTTGATGTTAATTAAATAGCCTCGTGATCGTACAAAATCCTTAACCCCTTCTACAAGAAGTCAAAACACCCTTTAGAAGCTTCCCTTCACACCACCACCCTTTAAATTTCCATCCCTTTTCTTTTGAGTAGTAATAATTCCGAGCAGTTGGACCACAAACCCTTCATATAATCTTTCATTTCTCTCTCTATAATCTGTATTCATCCCCAACCAGTCCAGTTATAAAGCTCTAATTTTTAAGAAAAGAAGCCTAATTTCGACGAAAAAGAAACCCACCATGGCTTTCATTTGTGGATCTTCTGGCAACCAAGAAGACGACTTTGAAGTTCTTTGGCCATCTCAAAGGAAAACAACAAGAAGACACAGTTTCTGCAGCAGAAGCAATAAAGACAGCAAGAATCCATACTCAAATCGTGGTCTTGATAAATTTGAAGCTCTTTTGGCCGATCTTGATGGCAAGCGACAGAAGATCTTTACTCAAAAAGGGTCTGAAGATATCTCTTTTGTTCGGTTTGTCTACTCGAATTCGAATGATGTCAAACCCATTGTTGTCAAGATCAAGGATCAAAGAAAACAAGATCAGAAACTCAAGGCCGAAAACCCTAAAACCGCTGAATTATCTCCACCGCATCCGCCAAATAGCAACAAAACTGGCGGTGGCACGAGGGTGGAAGGTGCAAAACCGTCGATTGATCTATGCAAGAAGAAAGATCAATGGAGAAGAAAGGTTGGGGATTGGTGGAAGCCATGGTTTTGTTTGCCTCTTTTTGTGATCTTGATCTTGGTATTTTTGGTGTTCTTTGGCCGGTCTTTCGCGATATTATGCACGTCTTTAGGATGGTATCTGGTGCCGGCGACATCTGAAATAAACCCGAAAAGGCAGAAGAAGATGGTGAAGAAAGAATATGCAAGAAAATCGAGTGAAAAGATGATTATATCTCCAAGAAGCATCCTCAACAGTGAACCGATGAACAATCAACCCCATCGGAAAAGCTTTTGATTTCAAGTTTTTTTGTTGTTAGTTTTGAATTGTGGATGATGGGTGATCCTGATCCATGTACATATTTTTTTATTTGGTCACATTTTTGAATATTGTAGCGGTTGGAAACTTGGGAATTGATTCAATGTCCATTGAACAACGACTCTAAGGGCCTGTTTGGTTCAGACATGGGAATGAAAATGGGAATGAAAATGAGAATGACCAGGAATGAAAATGGGAATGAATACTGCATTGATGCTGTTTGGTTAATACAGGGAAATCATTATCATTATCATAGATGTTGTTTGGTTGCTTAGCATATATAATAACTGGAAATTTTGTTTTATAGCATTGTACTACCATTTTATCATTTAAACATAACTTCAAAAAATACAATACAAAAGTTTCATCCAATTTTATAGCATTGTACTACCATTTTATCATTTGTGCATCTATATGTGTTATTTCTTCTGCATATAGGTGTGTTATTTCGCTGCAACAAGAAGACTATAATCTGAGTTAGGAAAACTATAATCTGAGTTAGGAAGACTATAATTATATATTATGTTTAGCCAAAATTGGAACTACAGATATAGATTATTTCACAAACCCCCTTTCTTCCTAGTACTCCCAAAAATTTCCATCTTTTGAAGATCCAGCATGCCATATGAGATGTATATACACTTTTTAGGGGGCATCAAGACTAAATAGGGTCATATGAGTTTACAGCAATTAATGACTTATTCAACATTGTCAAAAAATCTTACAAAATTTTCAAAGTTTAGTCCTCTACACGATACTCAGATTAACAGGGATGCTTGTAAATTCACAGCCAACAAATATATACCAAATGTAGAAGATCTTTTAAGAGGAAGGTAAATGAAAATTCAACCAAATGTAATAGAAATCAATATTTCTTGATAGAACCTCAACCTCTGAAAAATGAAGTACACCAAAACCAAATTTACTAGTCGGCAGTCGGTAGTCGGTAGTCGGAGACTCGGAGCCGGTCAGTCGGCGCCGGCGGTCTGTAATTTACTAGTCGGACAGTAGCCGTATTTTCATATAATCGACAAATATATGAAAAGAATCACCATTCATCAAACCCATTCATCAAACCCATTCATTTTCATTGACATCTAGACGCAGATCGAAAACATGAATGTAAGTTAGGTTAGAAAAATAGGAACATACCTATAAGAGATTCTCAATTTCTGGAAGACGATTACTTGGAAGAGATAGTTGGAGGCAGCCGATTTTTGAAGAGATCGCTTTCTTGAAGAGGAGTTGGAGGCAATAGATTTTTGGAAGCGGGAATGAAAATGCATTCCCCCCAAATTGAGTAGGAATGAAAAGTTGGGCTGTTTTTGGGAATGGGCCCATTGCATTATAACAAACCAAACATCTCCTATTATATTCATTTTCATTAATTATTATTAATACCCCCAACCAAACATCTCCTAAATGTTATTTTCATTTTTTATATTAAATTTGGATAATAATATTCATTTCATTTTTATTTTTAAGAAATGTAAATACCTTTAAGGATTTATAGTTTTTTAAAAAATAAACAACTTGTCAAGTTTCATCAGCTGATTTATTTAAAATTTTATATTTAAATTTTATAAAAAACCAACTGATAAAACATTTCAAATACAAGATAAATGTTAAGTCTTGTTAATATATATATAGAATAACATTGTATAAACTAAATTTCATATTATTTTCAAGAACCAATTACATTTTTTTATATTCTCAGTAAATCTTATATTTTAATACATAATTAATGTTTAATGGAATACAAGTTTGAATTAATATTTGAGTTAAGGTTGTAAAAACATATATAAAAAATACAACATGTTGCCAAGTCAAAGTAATTTCTTCCCCGGATAGGTAATTATGTTGATACATTCAAGTGGTTAAACGTCTCAATATTGCAAGTGGCTTTAAATATCATATCTTATATTTTTTTCAAAAAAAAAAAAAAATTTTGTTCAATGAAATTATTTTTTAGTTGAAATAAATATCATCAATATATTAAATACTCGTATTCTACGGTATCTAAAATATGTAGAAAAGATCAAAAAACAGAAAGAAAAAAAAACCGTTAAATTTTGGAAATATTTAATAAATATATATCGATTTTCAAATCCTTCTCATAAAATGGGAAAATATGTAATAATGATTAAGTTTTTTAGTAATAAAAACAATTTTATTTTTTAAAATAAAAATAATGTGGATATTTATGTTTTAGTAGACTATTCTCTGAAATAGAAGAATGGAAAAGAGAAGATAATTTAAGAATTTTAAGTTCATATATTATGACAATTTTCAAAAAAAATAATCTTATCTCCTTAATGAGATAGAGTGTATTTTTTTTTTCTAAACTAGAAGGGTACTCGCATGATGTAGCGAGATACATATCGATTTTAACGTTCATTTTATTCTGTCCATGTTAGTATAATACGGTTTTATGTGGTATTAAGAAAACGATAATGATTTTATTTGGAATAAAACATAAATTTGAAAATATCATAAAATTAAAAAAAAATATCCATATTAGTATCAAATTAACTATTTAAAAGTCTCATTTTTTTTGTATAACTTTTTTAATTCAATTTTTTTTGTAATTTAATTTAAGTTTAATAACAAAGTAATTTATTTTTAATTTAATAATAGAATTTTTTATAAAGACAATAATTTAGTATTCTGTTAGAACTCAATGATTATTCTAATAACATTATCAAATTTTTTATATTTAAAAATAAGATATTTATCATGTATTTGATCATGTTTATCTGCAGTGTGTTACACGAATTCAGATATAGAGCTTTAATAAGTTGTACGTAAATACAATTTATTTGTAATCTTAAATTCTAAGTAATATGCATGCATAAAATACAGTTTTTAAGAATTTTTGTCAAATGTTTTATAATATAGTATAGATATAAATATTTTAGAAAAATTTGTTAATGTTAAAAATCTTTAAAAGATAGAAAATATTTAATTTATTATTTTAAAAAAAAATAGAAAAACTTCGTCAAAGATAACGTAAAAAGGATTGGAGCCCATGTCTTTGTATCATATGATTAAATAAGAAAATTTTGAATTAGGAAGAAGAATGACGAGGGTGCTGAGTTCATGAAAATTATATTAAAAAAAACCATAATTAATTGAAATCTCTCAAGCTCTGTTCACATTTAATCAATATAGCTGAATCTGCTTCTTCTCGTTTCCTTGCTATATGTTTGTGCTTCTCCTTATCTTGTTTTTTTTTTTTAATTAACCTGGATATCCAACCCGTTATGCGAGACTAATCTCAAGACGACCATTGGCTTTGCAGATAGTCCGGAGTCACCGTATTTGAACCTTCATCGCCACAAAAGGACTTTTATTTCTTCTTTGATTTGAACCTGGATATCTTGTTGTTTTCGTGTTAGTGCTTTCTTTGTTCAGTTGTTTTTATTTTATAAAAGGTGTTAGACGATAAGTACCCGAACATACTGGATAACGATAAAGCTGACACATGACAAGATAAGTTATAATCCAGTTATTACTGAAATATGGTCATAAAAGAAAAAGTCATTAATTTTGTTTATATAAAATGGAAAATGTGGGTAAAAAGTAAATTGTATTTAAAATTAGATAAAGAATATTATCACATGTTATACCTTGTGAGGCATTAATTACACAAAAGATGATGCCAACATGTTTGTAGCTTCCCATTAATAATATCATGTTACTTTTTTATATTCAACACTCCACCAAAAATAGATATTATGGTTATTATAAAATTCATACAACTGAAACCATCTAGAAAACCCAAAATATACAATTTAAAACTTATATTATTTTTTATTTTTTTAATTAATTTACATTTTTATATTTTAATAATTGTATCTGTTTAATGATTTTTTTTGTTCAGTTTAAATTAAATTATTTGACATAATTATTAAGAAAAAAATTTGTAATAAGCAGAATGTTCATTACGACAGCTGTCGTGGTTCAACACTTGTCTCCGATAACACCTTAAGCCTATGACATGTAATGTCTCAATCTGCCCTTTTTGTATGGTGTTATTTGATTTTTTTTTTTTTTTTTTACATTTTCAGTGTCCTGCTTTTTTGATTTTAGTATATAACCTAATTTAAATTGTGTGGTATCATTGACTTATCAAGTAATGGTATAAAATATATGTGTGTGTGCGCGTGCATGCACCATCATTAATGCCTTGAAAAATATYATGGCTTTGTCATAGCTCCTAAGACTTGAGACTTGACCTCACATCCATGTTATGCCTCATTTCATTTAAAACCATGGTTATAAGTAACATTTTTGTGATCGAACTGCTCTTCCTCTCATACTTTGCTTAAATTTATAAGTTGCATCAATTAATTACATCAAACTAAAAAAGTAATGTTATTAGTATGAACAGAGTAAACATCACAATTTGAAGTGTCCTCATCATACAAGTCCCATAGTCATCATGATATGGTGGAAAAACCCGGTTAGCAACAACTTTTCCAGATGCTCACTGTCCTATCACTAAGATAATGTATAACAGCAAACTTGGTTTATAGGATGCCTGTATACGACACTCTTAGAAAGAAGAGTGTCTCACACAAATACTAATATGACATATACTTAGTTAACAGCTTTTTATTTCATAAACATAAAATCTATTCAGTTATTTAATTTTGTTATAACAACTTATTTATCTTTGAATATGACGTCTATAAATTACATAACTATATCATTCAAAGCTGTATTAGAACTGTTGTAAGCATTGTAAGATCTGATGCAAGATTTGTTATAGTGTGACAAATCTTTATTCACATATGGAATAAAAAAATTATTTTTATTATCCAATTTCTTTTTTAATGAAGGGTGGAACACATTTTATTTAATAATAATGGAGAGGAATTGGAATTTTCGAAAATTAAAAATACTTTGAACTATTTAATGTATATAAAGTAATTCTACTTTTATTAATTAGTTTTATATTATATGGTCGTAGTGAAATAATCAAATTAGAGCCACACATGAATATGTTGTTTTACGATCGGAAATAATGTGTCTAAAAGTATAATTTTGTTACAGTATATATTTCATAATATGAATATTTTTAATATGCATCTCTTTTTTCAAATTATAAAACAACAT